TGAGAATCAGGAGGGGGTACCACGGAGCTGCGAATCGCGAGTGGGTACCACGGAGCTGCGAATCACGAGTGGGTACCACGGAGCTGCAAATCACGAGTGGGTACCATGGATCTGCGAATCACGAGTGGGTACCGCGGAGCTGAAAAGCGCAGCGCACTCTAATGAAGAGCATCCTTGCGAGGATGCGATTTTCACTTTCCGACGAGCGCCGAGATGACCGAATTCCATGCAGAAGACTCGTCTCTGGGTTCAAAGCAGGCGGTTTGGGTCGTTCTGTGATCTGGGTCTGAGCTCGCCCGCGCGGCTCAGCTGCGAATCACGAGTGGGTACCGCGGAGCTGAAAAGCGCAGCGCACTCTAATGAAGAGCATCCTTGCGAGGATGCGATTTTCACTTTCCGACGAGCGCCGAGATGACCGAATTCCATGCAGAAGACTCGTCTCTGGGTTCAAAGCAGGCGGTTTGGGTCGTTCTGTGATCTGGGTCTGAGCTCGCCCGCGCGGCTCAGCTGAGCCCTGGCAGCACCCTGCTAAAGCCACGGGCGGAGAGTGTGGGCAGGATGTCGGGAGCGGGAATCCTGAGTCGTTTTCTGATCCAGACTCAACTTCAATCTTCAGAACTCTGGCAAGCAGAAGGACAAACCATAGCGTTTCCATCGGTGCATACTGTGAGGTTTTGAAAAATTCTTGGGTTGATTTATTGACTTTGCTATCACGGCTGAGCTTTCCTAGGAAGTTCAGCGTTGATTATGGCCCAGAATTTTTAAAGGTGTGAGCCTCGAGCATGGTCCTTATTCCTGCTTTTGGTCAGCAAACACATTTTATGTGCTTTTGAAAGTACCAGCAGCACAATGCCTACCTGTGGGTTTAATTTTAGGGGCGAAAGGCAAGTGGCAGTCTTTGAATGGTTAAAAGTGATACAATGAAATGGTTTCTTCGTCATGCCCTAGCGAAAAAATACCCTTGTCCTGTCTGAACAAAGCACTGGCACGCAAAATCTGATCACAAAACCATTTCATCTTTTTAGTTACAGATCATCTTCTCGTTGGAGACCTGGGGTAGCGCTCCACCCCACGTGTGCCTGCCCTGGCGTTTCTGCGGGGAGAGCCCTCGGGAGCTTTGGAGCCTTTTAAGAATTAACGGAATATTGCGGCGTGAGCTGTTGTACCCAGCCATCGCTTATAGACGGCGTTAAATCGATGCGATCACAAACTTCGTGTTCTCCCGCCGGCTCGTGGATGATGCCGGAGAAACCAGCTGGGATGGCTGGAAAGCAATCTGCGGCGCCTGGCCCCCCGCTCCCCTTTGACTCGGCTGCATTTCCCGCTGCCCTCCCGCGTC